GCGCACCTCGTCGACCCATTGAGCTATACTGGGTGGTGCTCTTGGGTCCATGGCTAAAGGTAAGACGAACTCAGTCTCCTGGTCCTCCAGGTTGGGGATTGGAAATGAGATGGTGTCCACTTCTATAAAACCGAATCGATGCGGGCAAGCTTTTGAGCCAAAGGCTTTGGTCGAGGACAATAATCATCCTCCTGTCTATGTCTGGACGCCATGGCAGAATCTCATCCCACATACATCCATGACAATTTCTTTAAACTTCAATCACATTCTGCATCGGCCATCGCGCAGCTTATCAAGGGTAACCTTATCTGCTGCATACATCAGGGCGGATACGCGAAAACATGCTACTGCTGGCGCCTCCCCAATTTCCTTTCTACCTGTTGCTCTTACTCCAATCCCAATCACCTTTAGTAACCTTCCTTCTATTAGTCAGTCTCAGTGATAACAGCCAAAATGCCACTGGAGTCATACCATCTGCAGCTATCTTCCTCAACCACCCACTGGATACCGATCGCCAAAAGCTCCTAATTAAGCCACACTGTCCCATTTCCATGGCGGCGTTCAACTTTCGTACAAATAGGTCAACAGGCTGCACTCGCACGCACCTTGGACATGCTGGATACTGACGTGTGTTGTGTGTCCGAGATTACGATCAATGACCCTCACGGGGTTACGGAACTAACTGCGCCCAGAGACGCCGATGCGGCAGCCAGGGGTCAAGCTGGAGTGGGTATTGTTCTCAGCTCCAAGGATGAGTCATGGCTAGTTGTCTGGATTCCCATGAGTAGCCGTTTGTGTGCAGTCCGTTTGACGACATCATCTAAGGTCGATTCAACAAGTAGTACAAGACGCTTATTGTTTGCGGTTTCCGTTTATGCTCCCACCGACTTCAGTTCTGATGCTGTCAACGACACATTATACCACGAACTGAACACGCTACTACGTAGTGCTACCAGTTCATATAGCTTAGTAATTGCAGGGGATATGAATGCACAAGCAAGTCTCCTGGGCTCTTCAAAAGCTCAGCTAGGTGGTACTTATGAGCTTAACTTCAAACGGACAGACAACGGCGTGTCGGTCACAGCTGCGAGCGGGATCACTGGCTAATTCATAGCATCACCGCTTTTAGACACAGTGGGCACAGAAGTGCCCCTTGACGTCCACCCATAGCTGACCAGCGGCGGATCCTAATTGATTACGTTGCCATAGGCCGGCCCGTGGCCTATAGATAACAAGCTTGTCTTGTAGTCGCAGTATCCTTAGCGCACGTGCAGCCGGTGGTGGTTGTGCGGTAGCGAAGCGTCGGTACTGCGTACCGGCGTACTGCTGATGTCTTTTTACGTTGCCATGAGTTACCGGTAGCGTGGCTCCATGCTGGATTGTCGTTCATTTTGCAATGACTGTATAGACACGTACAATGCCTTGGTATGCTGTCGTCCTTCATGAAATTTACCGGGAAGCGTTCCAAATGCCTCGATTGGCGACTGAGAAATTATCTTTGTCCCCGATTAAGCAAGCCTACCAGGATGCCCTGCGTACCGAACTTTCAAGCGCCCGTCCTAATGGCACTGACCTTCAATGGAATAGGATCTTGGCCGCCATGCACGGCGCAGGAGTACCTACTTGCAGCAATAATAGTCGTCGCCTCAGCAGTCACTGAGTATCCGAAACATTGGTAAACCTGCTGGAATCTAGAAGAAAACTCCCGACTGGTTCTGAGCACAATGTGACCAGACGGACAAATAGGCGCGATCAAGTGCAGATCCTGCGTGCTGACAACGAAGTCTGGTAGATCAGTAGGGTCCAAGAAATGGAGGAGGCGGGAGCAGTAGGGAAATATCGCAAGCACTTCCAGCTGATGCACACCACCGGTCCCAGAAAACCAGGTATCAGTGAAATAACCGAAGACAGCGACGGTGCTCTAAATCAAAATAAGGAGTGCCGTATGACACGCAGGGAGGAGCACTTGCGATATCAATACAATTGGTCCCTTGCTCCTGGGCCTCTTCCTACTCAGGTGGTGCAGGCTGAGCCATGGCCATGTGAGGCTGAGATCCAAAACGCGATCGCAAGCCTCAATCGTTTTCGTGCTGATGGTCCGGATTCTGTTGCATCCTCACTATTTAGGGATGGTTGGGAGGTCTTCTGCAAACCACTGACCTCCCTGCTCGAACAGATATGGAAGGAATAAGCCATCCCAGCTAACCGTAATAAATCGATTATGGTGATTTTATACAAGAGGGGCAGCCGCATCGACTGTGCTAACCACAGGGGTAATTAGCCTAACGCCTGTGGTGACAAAACTACTGGTCTCAAATCTCGTTCGTCGCCTAACTGCGGAACGGGAATCCCGCATTAGGGGAGAGCAAGCAGGCTTTCGCCCAGGACGAGGCTGTGTATACTATATATCCACTCTGCAGCAGGTGCTATAGCAGCGCGTCACAGGTACCGCAGGTCTTGAATAGCTGTGTTTCTCGACTACAAAAGTGCGTCCGACGCACTTGATCGATGCATTTTGTTGGAAATAGTTGTGCCGAAAGGTTCCCATGAAATATGTGGAGGTTTTATGTGTTCTGTACTCAGACATCGCAGACCACGACAGGGTCTACGGTGAATTGTCGGATGCCGTTCTGACCACAAGTGGAATTCGCCAAGGTTGCCCGGTCTCCCATTTCCGTTCAATTTCATAGTGGACTCCATCACGCAGTGTTCCCTGGCGGAGCCACACGATGCAGGCGTTGAAGTGCTACATGGGAAAAGCAAGTTAATCTAGAATATGTAGACATTGTTTGGTCTTGCATGACGATGTTGGAGCGGCCCAAGCGACCCTGTAGAATCTTTGTGGTGTGGTCCCATCATTTGCCATGCGTTTCGCATCTTCAAAGTGCAAAGTGCTGTTGCAGAACCACCAGTCCCTTGATGACCCCTTGACCTTCGATGGCGAAGAACTCGAGGCAGTTGGTGACTTCACCTAACTTGGCAGCTGTATCAGTAAACATGGGCGCATAAACATTGAAGTCGATTCAGGTGTTGCAAAAGCCAAAACTACCTTCTTGAATCTGCGACATCTGTGACGTCAGAAAAGGGTTTCCCTCTGTCTAAAACACCGTGTTTACAAGGCCACAGTGAGGGCCGTCCTAGTCTATGAGGGTAAGACTTGGCTCCTCCGATCTGAAAATCTGAAACGCCTTCAAGTATTTGATTATCGTTATCTGCGAAGCATTGCTGGTGTCGGATGGCACTGGCGTGTCCTCAATGATGATGTGCACAGGCGAGTGTTAGGCAGTGATACACAAGCTAGTTCCTTAAAACAACAAGTAGCACTAAGTTTTGTTGGCTTGGGCACGTACTAGGTTTGCCCGGTCACACTTACCGAGAAGGGGTTTGTTTTATCTGCCAGATGTAGGGTGGCGCCAGGCTCGAGGTGGACAGAAGTTGACTTGGCAGCGGGAATCGAAGTCAGTGACGACCAAGCTTGGTGCCGTCGGTCCGTCTAGAATTCCAGACTGGGGTCCTCATGATTCGCCTTGTGCTTAGCTCGAGACGTTAAAGGGTATGGCTCGCAATCAGCACCAGTGGCGCGACTGCTGTCGTCTCCTAGTTGGACTGTCCGTTTAACTTGTGGTTGGCGTTGAGTTATCTAAGGGATAACAGCTGATTATGACGCGGGCAGAGAAATCCGCAAGGAAGCCGTCTCGCTGATGCCGCGTACTCTTTGTACGATAGCCAGTTGTTTGTGATCGTATGTTATTGACATGGTGTAGGGGACTTAACTCTGAATCTTTGGTTAGGGCATTAAGGTTTTGCGCTAGGTCCCCATTCTCTCCCCTTTGTTGTTCTTCGTTCTGTGGGGCACCGTAGTTGTACGACAGCGAAGTATCAGTTCAGATGGCTGATGTACTGCAGTTGATGATGATGATGATGATGATGATGGTACTGGTACTGTACGGCCAAGAAAGACTGGGAAACACTTCGCCATCGCCCTTATCAACCCGATGGACAGTGATCACTAAATATACACTGCTAAGTGGTGGTTTCCGAGCTCCGATGACTAGCCACGTTTAGCACTTATGTAACCAACACCGAACGCAATATCCGTGTTGCTAGCCGAAGGGATTAAAGTAGAGTGTGTTGCACTCTCGGTTGACTCCAACGAAGTTGAATATGGGCAGTGCATTACTCTCACTGAGCCAAACACTGATACGGTAAGAAGCGCTATGGACCACTATACCATTTCCCGGCCAAGTTGTCCTCTTGGGCAACAGAAATAATCTGAGGGGGCATTCAACATGAGTCTAGTCAATTAATTTGTTCCTTGCGTACGCCAGTCACTTGTGCAGGTGTGTAGGTGTGCATGTATAGCCTCGCCTTCAGCTAATTGGACCTCAGACGCACTAAGTCATAGGGGTGCAGGTGGGACGCTTCAGCTCCTACGCACGAAACAAATTAATTGAGTAGACTCATGTTGAATGCCCCCTCAGATTATTTCTGTTGTCCAAGAGGACAACTTGACCGGGAAATGGTGTAGACCGACGTGACTGGAGACCTAATGATAGTTGGAAGCTAAAAGCGTTTACCGCAAGCGTGCTGCAGCGCTCCTGTCTTGTCGTGTGCAGTTCGGAGAGATAGTGGCACACATCAGTTTAGTCTGAAAGTAGACCGCAGTGGACTGAGAAAATGCGCACCACAGAGCCCTAATAGGGGGAAACGATCATCAGTTGCTTTTCCGGATTAGGTTAAGAGTATCTGGCTTGTAAGCAGATAAGACAAGACAGTAAAATTTCGGCGAAAATCCTCCTAATCTTAAGTGATCAGAGACCAAGAATCAACCTACAAACACACTGGTGGCTGCTAGATTATGAGAAATGCCCAAGTGTCGATACGTGGTTGATACCAAAAGTTTTCCGCAATCAAAGCGCTAGCGTGTGTCAAGGAAAGCACGAAACCACCTAAACAATGACACGGCTTCAAAAGACATCATGCTAGACTAATCAACTCACTTCTTCGAAGAAACTAGGTGCCTCCGGTTCGATCTGTACTGAGCTAGTGGCAAGAGGGCCTAGCTTTCCCAAAACCAAAAGGTCGACCCAATTTTCCAGTACACCGAAGGACGCAGGAGATAAATTTGTCGTATCCGCAGACTCCTGCATGGTCAGTTCAGCCCAAGACAGGACCAACTGAATTGCGAACAAACTGGAGCATGGAGCCCAGGCAGAAACAGGCGGTAAATGTGAATTCCCGACGCCCAGAGGAGATGCAAGACCCGCACGCAGTTGCAGACCGTTGCAAGGACAATCACTTCGGCAACTGGAGGGGGAACAGAAATCCGCCAAATAGTATGGTCGCTGGTCAATGGAACCATACTTCTTGAACACATCTTCGCAAGTTATAAGGGCTTTCAAGATGCGAACAAATGAAGTCGAACCATGTGGCTATCAAAAAGGAAAAGGTAGCGATCACCAATGAGAAACCCTATGCGAGTAACGACTCTTTGACAGAATAAATTGAATGTAAATGTTTCACACACAATCGATGATATGGACAAGTAATACACAACGACGCTTTAACATTGAGAATTATCTGGTGCAATTGACTTAGTCAGGTCCAAGGCAATCCAACCGATTACCTCAGTTATTCCAATGCAAATGATACCGGATGATTTTCCCCTACCAGTAGCCTGCCAGCAACTTCCAACGGATGCGCATTTCTGTTGCGTATTGACACTTTGAATGAACTAATCCGGTCCAAATGATGACGAGACACAACAAGGTCCCTGGTAACCTAAGTGACGGAGTCTGGTTTAAGTACCCAGTGAACTAGTCGATAGTCAATTATGCCTAGAAAGAAAGTAACTGCAGAAAGTAACTGCAGAAGAACTGTTAGACAACGTGCGAAACTGAATCACTTGACGAGTGGTTCAGATAATTAGGGAGAACGAATCAGGCGCAAGCAAAGAATTGAGCAAAACAGGATTAAACCAAGCGTTAGCCTGTCCTCGATATGGTTTGCAACAAGACCATCTCTAAAGAGCGCGAACAGATGACGTTTGCACCGACAGGTCCTCCACTTTTAAAGTTGCTGTGGATCTCGAAGGACTCTGCTTTGCACATGTTTGACGGTAATTTTACATAAAAACTTGGACAGTTGCTGCATCAAGCTTTAACTTCGTGATCTGTCCCATTGGATCCAGTCTTTGAAGTGCTCGATTAATCTGGCTTTTCTGACATTTTGTAGGGTCTTCACTTATCGGCTGGTAGGTATTCAGGTCTCCGATTAGTTCTTGTGCCTTCTTCTTGTAGTCAGTTTTTTACATTATTACCGTGAGTCATCCCTTGTCTGCCGGTAAGACAACAATAGTTTTGTCTCTTCTAAGGCTTGTAAGTGCCATTTGTTCGCTTACATTGAATATGTTCTTTTCCACTTTGTGACTCAGGGCGGGGATGAAGCTATGTCGAAGTACAAGTTGGGCTTCCGCTGCGATGTTGCATATGGTCTGCGTCGATACAAGTGCGGCAAATAAATTAATGTGATTAACATCTTAGTAACTTGCAGACCACGCATAATGACTGCTCATTTTGTAGCTGATAGAGTCCATTCGGATAGATTCAGGCAACCTTTTCATTTGGTGGTTTCTGTTGCGAAATCCTGTCCAGCTTCCCTTTTAGCTTCTGCTTTGTTTGAAGCTTCATCTCGTGGGTTCTAATAGCTATCGCCTTCTCAAGCTCTCCGGTCAATTGTTCTCCGATGTTGGATAAAGACATCCCCTTTGTTGGTCCATTACCCGTTGATACTTTTGCCATCGGTTGTGTGCATCCGTGATCAGCAGACGTAGCATTCGTCGTTCATGTTGTTCGGTGATCTTCCAGGCCAAAGGATTGTTGATGAGCGGGAGGTAATGTATACTTGATGGTAGAAATTGTCGCCGCAAACATTCATGCAGGAAGTAGAGTTGCTTGTTAGTGGAGGATTGACGGCTGGCAAAGGTCTCTCATCGGCGAGCGGATTTGAGCCCATCGCGCCTGAATTGTTTGGAAATTATTAACAATACCTGTAGCTGAGGGTTTTTGATGAGAGGGTTGATGTGCCACCTGAGTATTTCGAGATATCCCCGTTCTAGTGAATGGTTCGGTGGTGCGGTTCCAAGAAGTGGTGAGTTTTCGCCTGACATTTTCTTCCTCTATAAATCCACATATGTCCGTTTAACAACTCTGTGATGTGTTAGCTATAGGCTTCCAGTAAATAAAGTCACTGTCCTTTGCTTCACTCCAGTGGACCAATGTATTTAGCAGCGCGCTGCTGGCTTAATGGGGAGGATTGGGCGTTTGTTTGGCAACTGAACAAATGAAGGATGTGGGGACCGAACAATTGGTTACAGACTTCTAATGGGTGCGATGCCCTGACTTCGCTTCGGCATGGTTATGATGATGTAATCAAGTACAAGAGAACAAGCATAAATATCCCAGAGCAATGTCCCATAGACAAAAGTGAGTATAGATCCAGGAGTCGCACTACACTGAGCCCCTTATAAGTAATCAATTTTGATAAGGTCGCGAGAGGCCACTTTTACAATACGTACCTGCATTGGACATAGGCTCAAGAGTCAGCGAAGCATGCGAAACAATTACTAGCCTTAAACGATATTCGAGAATCAGCACAGGAAAGGACGCCAGCTCAAACCTATACTTTGTCGTCAATGGGGGTAGGAGATATCATTCAAACTGCTTGGCAACAGTTGGATCGGAGCAGGGCACGACCTAGTAAATCGGCTAGATGCAGGAATTTTCGACACAGATAACAAAGTCGTGATATAATCATTAATGAGATGGCTGGGTACAATACAGATATATTTGGATATTATTGAGAATAGCTGTGGCATGGAGTGAGGAGAAGGATTGACACTGATGTGAACTCGATTGATAAACGCTTGCAGCTAGAGGCCCCCACGAATTTCTGCGGAGTAAGTCAGTGGTCTACCTCAGGACAGCGGAACAGAGGCGATGATTACTTCCCCAACCCATATGAGTTTGTCAAAAGCTGATATTCAGGGCATGATTTGATCTAGAAGACGACAGTGCGCTCATCTGTGACAGCTCCCAGACGTGCTAAGCCGCGCTGGACAGATTAGCACTGGCTGTCAGCCGCTTCGGGCTTTGCTTTGCACCATCGAAATGCAAAGTATTCCTCCAAGATTGGCAGGGATCGCCTCCTGCGCTGACCCTTGGTTGGGATCAGCTAGAAGTCGTTCGGAAATTCAAGTACCTGGAAGTTGTATCAGCGTCCTTAGGCTTGAAGACGAGATCACGAACCACATAGCAAAAGCTCAAAGTGCTTTTTCTAACCTTCGACACCTATGGCGACGGCGCGACATTACTCTCGCCCTGAAGGGTAGAGTGTACAATGCAGCGGTACGTTCGACCCTACTGTACGGTTGCGAAACCTGGCTCCCTAAGATCGGCGAACCTAAAGACGCTAGTTAGGTTCGACCATCGGTGCTTTCGCAGTTTGGCTCACATCTGGTGTGAACACCACGTGAGTAACGAGCGTGTTCGACGCCTTTTTACGACATAGGAAAAGGTAATGAACCGCTCAGCACCGTCATTTCAAGCACCAGACTCCAATGGCTGGGTCACGTGTTACGCAAGCCAGCCCACCGGCTTCCTCGACGTGCGTTGTTTGTTCATCGGGGATGTGAATGGAAGAAGAGGAGGGGTGGCCAAGTGATGACTTGGTCAAGAGGAATGAAGGCCCTCACTTCGGAGCTGGCCTCGGTTGGAGCGTCACGGCTCCCTGTTGGGGTCCAAAAGACGGTGAACACGTTTGGTTGGATACATTTGCTAACATGGCAAGGAGCCGATCTCAGTGGCGTTCCTGCTGTGAGCTTCTTTGTCCATCCCCATCCCTTTTAGCCTCCCCCTCCACCTAAGATCTCATTTCGTAGCGTAAAACATAATAATTTTGTCTGTTTGCCTAGTAGCCGGTTGGTAGCTTACCGGAACGATGCCTCTCCATTGGTGGTAGCTCAGCTGGCATGCAACTGTTGTATTTATTTTCTTTTTCCTTTATGTATTGCGGCATAGTAGCTGAGGTGTTTCCCACCTCTAGCTGACGTGTATAATGATGATGGTGATGATTCGATCTAGAAGCACTTGAATATCAGAGTGGCTTACGAGGTCCTGCTAATCAGGCCTTGAAAGGTACATTGATGATGTGGTCAAGTCTGGTAACGAAAAATCTGCAGTTGAAATGGCCAGGTCGAAGAGCAACACAATAACCTCAAAGACAAAGTTGGCATGATAGCTGTAAAGTCCTGGTTCAATGAACAATAATTTTGTACGGGTTAAAAAGCACTGCATTAGAAGCTTTGTTGGGTGACCTGCTGGGTTAGCAAAAAACGTTAACGAAAAAAGCAGTTAGTAGTTTTACTGTCAAGATAATGGACTTATGGTTTGTGGTTCAGTCGCTCTGCACCCTGAGCGTTTCCATAGCTTCAATGGGCTAAAAAAGCAAATCCAGGTATTTTCCGGGTGTAGGATGGAAAGTAGCGTCAAGAAACAAAATGTAAGTGGCGGAGTGTGTCATTCAAACGATATTTAAATACAGTTAGCGTGGGGGCTGAAACAACAGATTCGGGGATAGCGTTCCATGGTTGACACGAACGGCACACCATGCGGATGTATTGTTCCGCTAATTTCAAGGAGTGGCTCTAAGTTTGGTGCTACTGCTGAGTTGCAGTAAAGAGCAGCACACATGATTCGGATTGTGTAAAATCAAATAAGTCATAACCAAGTCGCCTGGTAGTCGGCGATACCGCCCGCTGAATACTCCAAAACGTTTCAGCCTCGGCTCTTACAGAAGGTGGCGCATTCCAATTAGGCAGTTAGAAGTCCGACGTTGAGGTTGGTCGAGTGCAGTAAGGTCGTGCTTCAGCCATGGGTGCCAGGCTTGAATTGCGTATTCGACAAAAGTACAAACATACGCATTCAGCATCTGTCTGAAAATAGTGGCGTCTAGTTGTCCGAACGCCCGTCGTAGCAAGCCGACGTGCTAGTTACCAGTTTTCGAGACCTTTGCGGATTGCTTGGAACAACCCAAGTTATCCTGAACAAGGACGCCAAGGTCGCGTTCGACGGATGACGGCTGTAGTACTTGCGTTCCTAGCTTGTAGGAATAAGTACGCAAGTGTCGTATGGGGACTACCTTGCATTTGCCCAAGTTGAACTGCAACATATTTCGGGCTGACTATACATGTACAGCAGTTAGGTATTGCTGAGGTAAATTCTGATCGACATCCGCCTGAATCCGACGCTATATCTTGCTATCGGCAGCAAACAGCAGGAAATTTGAAGCGATATTCCGTGCAAGGTCATTGATATACACTAAAAACAACCGTGGACCTAGTACTGAGCCCTGTGGCATACCAGACTCGAATGGT